AGGGTGGAGGGATGGCGCAGGAGAGGAAGGCCCTCTATGAGGTGGATTGATTCAGTGACTGGGATAATTGGGATGGGAGTGTCAGAGACAGTGCGATTGACACAGGGCAGAGCGGAGTTTAGGGCTGTTGTACATAGGGTCGCTATGAGTTGCAGGCGACTCGACGGCACATAACAACAAAACAACAACAAACCGTGATCTCTTAAGAAAAATGAACATGCCTTTTTTGAGAGGAATTGATGATAGGCATGGCTATGGCAGATTTGAAAAGAAATGCAATCCTGCTTTTCTTAAATGTCATCCATTTCCCCTTCAGTTCTACCAGATTATCATCTGTACTATCCATATCCTCCACCATATGGACCAGATTATCCATTATTTCCAGTTAGGGATGATGTACCCTTAAGTGATCCCTTTTCACAATTTTTGAGTCCTGGTGGCGATGCTGATTTAAAACCTGATGTTGGCAGAAACATACCAAATCTGGTGGATTTTAGTAATGTGAGACCTCAACATCGTGTTCCCAGACAAAATATAGGACTGAATACAACGAAAAAGAGACAAACAATTCTATTAGAACAACTACAGCAGGATAAGAGATGGAATTCTAGGGTAGTTCCAGACATTTCCATCAGAGCAAGACTTGGAGGCAAATAAAGTGTCATGGATTTTATTTAATAATCAAAGGAGAAGGAAAGAGTGGATATACATTTAAGTGTTTAAAATTAATATTTACAAAGATTTTAAGACAGTTGATTCTTTAAATTACAATGAAAAATAAGAATAAGAATTATTTTATAAACTTATTTGTAAAGCAATATTTACTTACAAAATATACAATAGTCAAATGATCAATAGAGAATATATCTGATAATTTCTTTTAGACATGAATAATCAAGTATATGAAATAATTTGTGTTTAACTTTGATAATTGCATAACTTGAATCCTTACCTGTATTCTATCTTGTAAATGAGAAATCTACTGGCAGTTAAGGAAGAGCTAGGTTGCAGAAGCTAAAGGAGAAATTATATATGAGGCTAGAATTCATATTCATTCTTTGTTGAGTACCTTACAATCAGAACCAACTTATAGCTGCCCTGACCTCTGGGTTTTCAAAGGCAGTTAATCATACAGGAGGAGATTGGTCATCCTTCTCCTGCGGAGCACATGCCTTCGGGATTATTGCATAGCTTCTTGCCACTGCAGACTTCAAGTGTTGTGCAAATGATTTGCACTGGGCTATTAACTCAAAGGTTGACAGTTAAAATCTATCACAAGACACCATGAAAATCCATGTAGTACATATACCAGTGACACTGTGGTAGTCCGCCTGGGGACTTCCACTATCTAGTGGCTAGAAAAAGCAAAATTGACCATTAAATTCATATTCACTGTGCCCAAATTCATTGTTTATGCCAAGGCCTCAGAATTTTGTTTCCAGGGGTCCCGTTAAGCTGCATGTGGCAAAAAATTTCGGAATTAAAATAGTGCTTGCCAGGAAATGTAGTTCTCCATTCATACAGATAAAAATCAAAACACCAAATCCACTGCCTTAAGATTCATTTCCAATTCCTGATGACCTTCCATTGGATTTCTAAGCCTATAAATCTTTAACAGAGAAGACTATTTTTCTCCTGCAGAGTGATAGACGGATTGAAACCCTTTCGGTTAACAACTAAACATGTAAAGCACTACTTCACCAAGGCTTCTGGCAAATTAAAAGAGAAGGAATTGAAACAATTTTACCCTTCATGTAAAAATATTTTTGTAGTCAAGTAGATAGTCAAACTCATTGACTATATAAACTCATGATATAAAATTGGAAATGAGAGACCTTCTAAGAGGAGAGAGAGAAAATGAGCCATGTATGTGCAATAAGTGCTGGCAAAAATCATCCTAAAAATGTTACAGTTGGGTTAATGGTTGGATTACTAAAAAAAATAATTGCTTTAAAAATTAAAATATTTGTAACTCTAAACATTTTTGCAATTCCATTTCTAATTATATATGGTGTTTCCTATTTCACCAAGCAACACATATCTACACATACTTTTTAATGTGTAACTTGTGCTTTCCCCCTTAATGAGCATGTGTAGACACAGCCCCTACCAGAATTAAGCACATGCAATTTAACTTTAAATTCTCTTTAAAAATACAACTAAGTTCTCCTAGAGGTATTACAACAAAATCTTCAGGCCTATGCAAGAACTATATACTAGATAAAATGCATTGTTATCTGTACTTGGAGATAACATTTGCTGTACCTCCCAGTAAGCAAACAGAAAACAAGCTTTCTAGAATATCTGAAGAGTTCTTATATGAAAAACACAAAGCAAAGCTGTAAAGAGCAAAAACAAAACAGACAAGGATAAAATGAAACTAAAATCTCTCAATAGCCTCAAAGAGGTCTATGCAAAGAGACAAAGCTTGAAATGAAATGTTATTCACCTTGGACTGCCAAGAGAAGATGCACTTGTCTTGGAGGAAGTGCATCCAGGGTCTCCTTAGAAGCAACGATGGTGAAACTTCATCTCACATACTTTAGGCATGTTATCAGAAGAGACCAGTTCTTTGGGGGAGAATATCATGCTGGAAAAGGTAGAGGGTCAGAGAAAGAAAGACTCTCAACAAGATTGAGTGACAGATGATCATAATAATGAATTGAAGCCTATCTTTCTCCTGCAAAGACTCTGGTAGGTTAAAACCACGCAATTTGAATTATTATATTTTAATATTTCCTCAAGGGAATTACTGATTAGTTTAATGACAAGTAGTTTAAATTATCTTTATTATTCAAAACCACTCTCTCTGTCATTTTGTTATAATGTGATGGCTTTTGTATTGCTATGATGCTGGAAACTGCCACTGACATTGCAGATACCAGCAGACAGGGTTACCTAACGTGGGCAGATTTCAGAAATTGTTGTTATTATTATGTGTCATCGAGTCACCTGCGACTCATAGTGACCCTTATGTACAACAGCCCTAAACCCTGCTCTATCCTGTGCCAATCTCACTGTCTCCAACACAGCTACCCCGATTATCCCAGTCACTGAATCAATCCATCTCATCAAGTGTCTTCCTCTCTTGTGCTGTTCCTCCACCCACCCAAGCATGATGTCCTTTTCCAAGGACTGGTCTCCCCTTGCAACATCTCCAAAGTATGTCAAATGAAACTTCATAATCCTTGCTTTCAAGGAGCAGCCTGGTCTCACCCTCTCTAGGATGAACTTGTTTGTTCTACTAGCAGTCCGTAGTATATTCAATACTCTTCTCAAGCACCACTGCTCACAGGCATCAATTCTACTTCTTACAATCCCTAGTCATTGTCCAGTTTTCTGATGCATAGCCAGGTAATTGCAAAGACTATGACCTGGATCAGGCACACTTTAGTATCCAGACAGGCACCATTGCTCTTCAGTACTTTGGAGAGGTCTCTGACAGCAGACATTGCCAATGCAATTAATCTTTTAATTTCCTGGCTGATGGTACCAAGAGTGTTGCGTGTGGAGTCAAGGAAACTGAAGCTGTTAACAATCTCAATTTCTTCACCATTTATCATGATGCTGCCACTTGGTTCAGTGGTGAGGATCTTTGTTTTCTTTATTTAGAGCTTGAATCCATATTTTAGGCTGCAGTCTTTGACATTCTGTAACAAGTGCTTCAGGTTCTCCTTAGTTTCAGCAAGCAGGGTTGTGTCCTCTGCATAACACAGTTTGTTGATGAGTCTTCCTCCAATCCAGATGCCACATTTCTCCTCATAGTGCAGAGATCCACCCCTCAGATAATCTCTTCTGCATAAGAAAGGTTAAGAAGAAAGACTCACCATCCATCCCTGAAAATATTAGAGGATAAAAACTTTAATTCATAATTAAACAATTAAATAAATTAAATTATTGAACAGTGTCTGATAAACTCTCAGAAGATAAGCCCTTCAGGTTCAAAGATGCTCAGAATGTCAGCAGGGATGACTCTTTCTTGAAGGTAAAGTCTGTTTTAATGATCTAAATGAATTAAAGCTTTCAAGTTATGATAATTCATTTGTTATTATGGTATAACTAAAAATAAGAAAGAATTGAAAATATCCTTTAGTAATTAGAGCATGTAATGCACAAATTCTAAGAAGACTGAAAGTTATAAATAATGAAATGGAAGTCATAAAGATCAATATCCTAATCATTAGTGAACTGAAGTTGGCTGTTGTTGTATAATGTCAAGTCAGTACCAAGCCAACCTTCAGTGGGTTTCCAGAGGCTGTTAATTGCATGAGAGGAGAATGCTCATCTTTCTCCCATGGTTGGATTTGAATAGGTTGCCTTTGAGTTGGTGTCACAGTTTCTTACCAGTAAGTCACCAGAGCTCCCTCAAGTTGACTAGTATTGACAATTTTGAATTAGATAATTGCATGTAGTCTTTTATGCTGGGTCCCCTCTGAACTTTAAAACCATCTCAAGAACAAATTTAGGCATTAAACACTCATGAACAAAGACCAGAGCTGTTCTGGGATATTAAGTATATCATTTATGAAGAAAACAAAAGTTCATGAGAGACGTAGTATGAAGAAAATACCAAGATGAATGTCTGAGGAAACTTTGAATATATTGAGAACCCAAAACAAAGGGAAGAAGTGAGGAAGTTAAAAAAGAGTTGAACAGAAGACTTCAAAGGTCATTTCCCAAAGACAAAATAAAGTATTATAATGAAATGTACAAAAACCTGGAGTCAGGAAATCAAAAGGGAAGAACTCATTTGCATTTCTCAAGATAAAAACCCAATTCAAATCACAAGTTGAAATACTTAAAGATGCTATGTCTATTGAGTGATCCAGGAAGCATCAAAAGAAGATAGAAGGAATGCACAGAGTGCCAAAAAGAACTGACTGACGCAGAACTTATACAGGAAGTGGTAATAACACATGTAAGCAAAATCTTGCTGAATATTATATAAAAACAACTGAAACATAGAGAACTGCCAGAAATACAAGCTGGATTTAGAAGAGGTGTGCACTAGAAATACTATTGCTGATGTTGGATGAATCATGGCTAGAAGTAGAAATTATTAATAGGATGTCTATTTGTGTTTAATAGATTATAAAAATACATTTGACTATGTGGATCACAACAAGTTGTGGCCAACATTGAGAAGAATGGAAATCCCAGAACATCTGATTGTGCTTAAGCAAGACCAAGAAGCTGTTGTCTGAACAAAAGAGCAAAGTAACACTGCATTTTAAAAAATTAAGAAAGGAGTACAGAAGAATTTACCCTTTCTCCATATCTTTCAATATGCATGCAGAACAACCATTCAGATGGCTGGAATTTATGAAGAAGAATGTGGCATCAGGTTTGGAGGAAGACTCATCAACAACCTGTATTATGCAGATAGCAGATGATGCATTTTTGCTTGTTGAAACTGAGGACTTGAAGCGTTTGGTTAAGGTCAAAGGCTGCAGTCTTCAAATATGGATTGCATCTCAACATCAAGAAAACAAAAGTGCTCACCACCAGACTAATAACCAGTATCATGAAATAAGAGAAGAGATCAAGGTTGCTAATGATTTCATCTTTCTTGGATACATAACACTCTCGGCACTGGCAGTCAGGAAATCAAAAGACAAGTTGCACTGGAAAAAATCTACTATCCTCTCC